AAAGTGCACGGCTAGCAAGTTGGTGTGGGTGTGTGCGTGTATGGGTGTGTGTAAAAAATGCATTAAGCACGTCTTCCTCTTCCATTTTCTACTTCTACTTCTGTTTTACCTGTTTTATTTGCATTGACTAAAACAACAACAACAAAAATCAACAACAAAATGATAAGCAAAGATGTAAACTGTGATAATGAAGCAGAAAGAAAACTTGTTCGAAAAGTTGTAATGCAATGGAGGATTTGCGAGGGGAATGGGAAAGATGTTGATGGCAAAAAAAGGGGGTGGGGGGGGGGGGTGGTATGTGGGAAGATAGCGATATGCAGCATGGAGCTAAACGCGCTCTGTTTGTGGGCGAGCGGATATCCGGCCCAATCCGGCCGGGCGACCAGGGCCAACTTGATTGGGCCAGTGTATCCAATAATTTAAGCCAGCCAACAGACAGATACATTCATTCTATACACATGTATACATATATACATATATGGATAACTCAGTCTTGAGATAGAAAGAGAGAGAGCGAGCGAGAGAGAAATTAGCCAGCAGTGCACAATGCGTGGAAGAAAACTTTCTATTGTTCAAGAAAATTGCAAAAAGAGAGAGCCAAAAGAGAGCTGCACGCTTTCAGGCCTTTTCTTTAGCCAGCATTCTATTTATGTGATTCCTCTTTGTGCTATATCCGTAAATGGTTCACAGCGTTTTTTTTTTTACAGATTTGTGCATACACAGATAAAGGTACATAAATATATATATATGCTTTTATAAATTTTCGAATACCCTTGCTATCATAATTTGATTAGGAAGTACATATGTAAAAGTATACATAATCTGGATCAATATCAGGGGCCGTGAATATATAGCTGATGTCTGTTTTTATTTTCATGCTTCTATGCTTAGTATTCTATCATTTTTAATGTCTGTGATTGATGATGTTTATAGTTGATAAAGATCTACATAGCTTCATAAAGTCATACGGTTTTTATTGATTATCTGTGGGAAGAATAATTAAAACAACTTTTGTTTTCTTACCCTTGATCATAGAACAAATGCATAATGATAAGGGTAACAATTTATTTAGCTGATCAATTTCGGAATAATCTATAATACACCTGCTACATAGGCATTCAATATATATTCACATTTGTCCAGCTTTATCCGGGCCAACTCGTGTTTATATTATTTCATAATAAAGTGCTTCATATATTAAGAAATATCTTTTGTAAACCAATTTGTAAGGCGATTGAACGAATTAAGATCTGTTGGCCCTACAACTTTGGAAGCCTTCTTCCCACCCAGAAAGAGCAGATATTCCCAAAACATAACGAAACATAACTGTGAATATTACATTCAAGCCGATCAGATGGGAAGCAGAAAATGTTTCACTCAATTCGGCCATCCATCAATTTCCCAAATTTATGGGCAAAAATAACATTCATCAATTAAAATAAAAAATTAAGCTTTCCAACTATAACGTATTGGACTGTGAGGGGACCAGTTAATCAGTCAATCAGTTGCTGAGTCAGTCAATCAGTTTATCAGTCAATCAGCTAGTCAATCCGTCAATCACTAAGTCAGTCAGTTAATCATTTAGTTATTCAGTCAGTCAATTAATCAGTTTGTCAATCAATTAGATAGTCAAGTAGACAGTCAAACAGTAAGTCAGGCAGTCAGTCAGTTAATCAGTCAATGAGTTACTCAATCAGTCAGTCAATTAATCAGTTTGACAACCAATCAGTTCATCAGTCAATCAGTTAGTCAATCAATTAATATCTTTGTCAGTCAATCATTCAAGCAGACAATTAATTAGGCAGTCAGTCAGTGGATCAGTCAATCAGTTAGTCAGCCAGTTAATTAGTCAGTTTATCAGTTACTTAGTCAGTCAGCCAATCAATCAGTTCATCAGACAATCAGCTAGTCTATCAGTTAGTCAATCAGCTTATCAATCAATCAGCTTTTCAATCAGACAGTTAATCGGTCTGTCAGTCATTCAATCACTCAATCAGGCCAGACATAAATTGCATAACAGCTAAAATGTATTAGAAATAATTGTATAACCCATAAACATAAACGTGTAGAGAAATATTAGAAGGACTTCCTCGCTTCGGATTACCTCTGCCCTGTGTGACGTGCACGCACGCTTGGAAACACTGGAGAGACAAGCCCCCAATCCCCACCCCGTCTCCCACCCTCACTTCGTGTTAATATCATATCGAAGGATTGGCAATGCACAAATATGTAGCTACAATCACTCATACCGCATCCCCCTCACATCATCCTTTTCGTATCAATGGCGAAAGGCGAGCACACGCTTACTCTCTCGCTCGCTCTCTCTCTCTCTTTATCTCTCTCTTGCTGTCACTCATACGCACACACATATGTATGCTTGGCTGTGTTTACATAGCAAAGCGTGCATGAAACGGGGCCTCGTTTTGCGCTGCCGCCGTTCGGGCTGCCCGACAAAGAAAAAGACAGAAAAAAAAACAACAACAACAACAACAAAAAAGCCAATGCTTATCGATGCCACTGCGTGCTTGTGTATGTATGCATACACATACATACATACATACATATACAGATATTGTTTTGCTTATGTTTGTATGTAACATACATACATATATACAACGTATGCGTGTGACTTCTGAATGTGCACACATACATACATATGTACATACTTACATATGTATATCTGTATGTATGTACATATATGAATTGTAATTAACGTTAGGGAAAACACAAATCCCGCCGTAGCTTAGTTGGAATTCACAAAATACGGTAAAGGCCCAACACAGCTGACTAATTAGCAAATCGCTGAAAAATCACACATACACACAAACGCACACGAGCCTAATTTTAGACGCAGCTGCGAAAGTAAAGCTCTGCTTAAATAGAAGAACAAGCTTTAAGGCCGGGAGAGCGGCTGAGAGCACGTTCAGGTAAGCGCGCAGCTGAATTTGTTTGAAAATGTTTTTTTTTTTTGCTTTTCAATATTTTTTTTTCTCTCTCTCTTCTTTTTTTTTTGTGGGTTGTGGAAAATGCACTCAAAGTGCGACCTTTTAGTGCTGCGCAGCTGACGCCTCCGTCGCTGTTTTTGCTTTTTACCGTACAATGGCCCAGCTAGCGTCGCAGCAGCAACAACTAAAACACGCACACACACACACACACACACACGAAGCGCTCTCGTGTCCGCTGTCCGCAATGTCGTCGGCAGCTGCTGTCTTGTCTGCTGCTGCTGCTGCCGAACGAAGCGGGGCCTTTCTTGAGCACACAGAGCGCACGAATAACGAAAACTTCTTGCATACACATAGGGAACGAGATGGCCAGAAAGCGGCCGAGCGAAAGAGTGAGGGCGAGGGCGAGCGAACGAATGAAAGAGAAAGGTAGTGTGAGAGAGAAAGGGAGCGTACACAGAGCCAGGGCCTGTGAGCGTACCCGGCTACCATGCGACTGCATGCCATACAAAAGTCGGATTGCCAGGGGTCGCGTTGTTTGAGCCGGGCGATGGTGGTGATGGTGATGATGGTGGTGGTGGTGGTGGTGGTGTGGGTGGGGTTGCGGGTTTTGCTGTTGCTGCTCTAGCTAGCTGTGATGGCGGGGAGAGGTGGGGCGGGGTTAGCATAGCGCTGCCAAAAAAAGAGACGCCCCCGCACACTGTGCGCTCTCCTGCCCCCAAATACACACACACACACACACACACACACACACACACGCACATGGGCGACAGGCCCGCTGGACTGTGGCATATTTGACCCACGCTGCAGCCAAGGCACAGCACAGCACAGCACAGCACAGCGCAGAGCCAGAGCCAAAGCTAGCGTCAGACGCAGCCGTCGACGTCGCCGCCATCAGCTCTAGCTCTATATGCTTGAATCGTACATGGCTTAAGCTTCGCTTGCACTGTGGTCAGAATATGCATGATTCTGGCCGTAATTACTTTCCATATTCGAAACTTGTGTAAATATTTGTGCACACAGTTTTATACTAGGACGCTCTGGTTATGCTTCACTTCAGTTTATTTTAGTCTTCTTTTGTTACTAACATGATGAGTTTTTCTCAGTATGACGTTTTTTCTTCTGTGCGTTTTAAAAAGTCATCTTTTGGAAAAGAAAAAACTTTTTTTTTTAATAAAAATTATTGTTTTTGTTGTGTTTATAACATCAAAATGCCACTAGGAGTGACTTTCCCATCGCTATAAGAGACTTTCCCATCGCCACAGAGTCTAAATAGTTGCTTGCAAATTTTCGGATGTTTTTCCCTTCGGGTTTTAACCCCTTAACAAAAAACGTGAAAAACGTTGAAAAAACCCCACTTCGAAGCGAAAAAAAAATGTATAAATATATGTATGTATGTATGTATGTACATATAGATGAAAAATTGGTTCTTTTAATTTGCCGCAGCCTTCCTAATAAATAAAACTTTTTTGATTTCTTATATATTTATGTATGTAGTTCTTTCCATGAGTTGCCCTTAACTTTAGTTTAAAAGTTAAATCTCAACTTGAAGTACATAAATTGATTTTTCGTGCTGTCGCCCGGCTTAAATCGAATTGCACCACTGTAAGTATGCCGTTGTTGTACTAGCTGTAGCTAGCAGCGCCGCTTAGCTAGTCGGCAGAAGAAGTGCACAAGGGGGTTGCAAGGTGTGCGGTGGTGGACAGGCAGCAGCAGCAACAACAAAAACAACAGCAATTCGGCAAAATGTTCGTTGCATGTTCGTGCCTCTGCAGCGACATCATAGTCGTTGTTGCCGCTGCTGCTGCGGCGGCTGCAGCGCCGGCAGTAGCGTCAGCTCTATGTATTTTGTATTTCTTTTTGCGCTATTGTATGCGTGTGTGTGTGTGTGTATGTATTTCAGTGTATACACACAAAGCTGCTGCGCTGTCAGCGTCGACGACGCTGCTATGTACACACACACACAGAGGCAGACACGCACACACACACGCGCAGACAGTTTTCAGTTGACTTCGTTGAAATAATTTTCGTAACAACGATCACACTCGTTTGTGTATTGCGAAGACGGGAGGACGTCTCGTCGCAGTCCGCAGAGCTAAAAGCAGCGTTTTTTTTTAGCGTCGTTTGTCGCCGTCGTCGTTGTAGGCGTCGCGTCGGCGGTGTTTAATCAACAACAAACAAAAACACAAAATATATACATAGATATATAAAAATTATATGCATATATATTGTATATAAATTTAATAAGCTATACGAAAATAATAAAAAAGAGTAGCTATTATGCCGTTGTGTACATTTTTTTCAAGTTTCAATATCAACTAAATCGTAATCAGAAATTGTAAGTGAGTAATAAAAGAGTGAAATGCATGCATACAAATATGTGCATAAAGTACATAAGTAAATGCAACTTATTTTATATATGTGTATAAATGTTTGACAGTTGCTTGTAAAAAGAAATTTGCAAAACAGAAAGCAAAAAAAAAAAACTCGCAGTCGCTGCTGAACGCTACAACAACAACAACAGCAGCAGCAGCAGCCAAACTCATACCACAAACAACAACAAAAAGTGCGCGCGAAAGAAACAGCAAGATATACAAACAACAACAACAGCAAAGGCAAAAAAAAAAAGTTGAAAAGCAAAAGGCAACAACAAAATAACATCAACAACATAGCAGCAAGCAGCACGTTTTGCTGTGTGTGAGTGTGTGTGTGTGTGCGCGCGCGCCTGTGTGCGTGTGTATGGCCAACGGCCGCGCCAGTGTTGCCATATCTGTGTCAGCTGAGCGCTGGCCCATGCCGGGGCAGAGACAGCGTGCCGAAGAGAGTGAGAGAGCGAAAGAGAGTGTGCACTGTATGCGTGTGTCAATTTGCTGTCAATTCGATTTGTTGTTTTTTTTTTCCCCCCTGGTCATATGTTGTGTTATTTTTTTGATTTGTGCTTATACAAACTAGTTATTATAATTTTATTTTGCCTAATTGCAGCACATGCAACATGAATTAAAGCGGCAAACATAAACTGCATACAAATACGACGAAATCAAATCAAAGAAAAAACAATAATAAAAAACAAAATAGAGCGCGTGAGAGAGCGAGCGAGCGTGAGAGCAGCAGCAGCAGCAGCAGCAGCATCAGCAGCAGCAGCAGCAGCATCACCAGCCGCAGCCATGTCTAGCAGCGATGATGTGCAGATCACCAGCGTGATTGATGCCAATGGGCAGTCGCTGCCGCTGCATGGCAACAGTTTGGGCGGTGCGCTCGGTCCGCCCGTCAAGCAGGAGGATGATGCCGAAATACGCGAATTGGCGGCCAAAATGAAGGAGCAGCAAAAACAACAGGCCGCCCAGCAGGCCAGCCGGCAGGCGGCCATGCAGCATGCAAATGGCGGCGTCGGTGGCCCCTCAGCTGCAGCAGCAGCGGCAGCTGGCGGTGGCGCCGGCGTTGGTGCAATGCAGCCACCCCTTACCAATGGCAATGGCCAGACAAATATTATGAGCTACCTGTCGCGACATCAGAAGCTACCGAACGGCACAATGCAAGTGGTGCCCGCATTGGCTGCCAATGGGCGTGCCAATGGCGCGATCAGCGATAACGATAAGAAATCATCGGGCGGACCATGCGATGAGGAATCGATAAAGGGGCATTTTGGTTGGGCGCAATTTGGCAAAGTATCGATACCGTATATATACAGGCAATCGGAGAAATATTGCTCGGTGCGAATGATCGAGCTGAAGCTGCTCGGCAAATATCTAAATTACCTGCATCCGGACATCTACTCCAGCTGCACATGTGTACGCAGCTATTACATAACCGATGCAGAGGCGCGTCTCTTCATCGAGATCAACCATAAGCATTGCGATGTCGAATTCGGACGCGATATTTTCACGCAAAAGGATCTGGTTGTACGTCTCAGCGATGCATCGAAATTTTATCAATTTCTCGACATTTGCTATCGCAAACTGATCGGCGGCAGCAAAACGCCATCGGAGAAATGCGGTTTCATACGCATCAATAAGGAGTCTGTCGTGCCGTATACCGTGCGCAACAATCAGCAGGTGGTGCCGCTTTTCTATTTCGAAGGCGAAACCGAGAACCTGAAGACGAAGGCGGAACTGTTAAACGGCTGGGATTTGGCGTATTTGAAATTCTGCTGCAAGGTCCAGGGCATACGCAACGAGCTATTCTCCAGCGAAAATGTCGCCGTCATTTCGCTGACGGACATCAAGAGCTACTTTCCCAACGGCACCGAGTTCGAGGACTATTGGCCCAGCAAGGTGGTCGACTCCAATCTCCTGATTGGCAATCGGGCGAATGCCAATAACTCCGTGAACTGGACGCGTCAGCCATCGGCGCCGCCGCCAAAGATAACATCCAGCGTGAACAGCAACAGCAGCGCAGCCGCAGTACAGAAGTCCCAGCAGCAGCAGCATCAGCAGCAGCAGCAGCAACAACAACAGCAGCAACAGCAGCAGCAGCATTCCACGGCCGCGGCGCAGCAGCAGCATTTGATGAAACAACGGGCTGCAGTTGCGGCCGCAGCCGCTGCCAATGGCGTGGCAAACGGTGGCAATTTCTCGTCGGCCGCTGCGGCGGCGGCAGCTGCATTCAATACACACGCAGCGGCAGCGGCCATGCTCCAGACGCAGGGCAATTCGCGCATGCTGACGCAGGCCACTGTCCAGGCACTGGCCACCGGTGGCTGGATGAATAGCCAGAATAATGTGCCCCAACTTCACGTTCAAATGTTGGTGAGTAATTGTTATATATACATGTATATGTGTGCAGCAAAATATCGATAGGCCGAATATCCAATACCAGGCCTATCGTTATTGTTATCGATATCGCCGCTTCGCTCACTCGAAGCAACAACAACAACAACAGTTGCGCTCTCCGCCACGGTTGCCACTTCGCAAACAAAAAGTACCACAATTTACTGAGAATTCACCAAATACGTCACAAAAAAAAAGTACCTTTTCTTACTCTGGGTGTCTTTAAATTCAAATGTACCGTTCTTTGGTACTTATTCCTAAAATGTTGCCTGCTTTAACTACTTATTGAGAAGAACTCTAGTTCATACAAATTTGAGCAAATTGATAGCCAATTCTGTTATTACTAAAACCAAGAGGTTCTTAATTCGGGGATTTATTCCATAATGTTTATTTGATTGTTATACTTACAAAAAAAACTAACAAAAATCAATATACATAAGTATTTGTGTAATATTTTGATTAAAACCCAATAAGTACAAGAGTAAAGTACCTTTAGTTTTTTGGTACATTTGCATAATAAGTGGCAACCGTGCTCCTTCCCCCTTCTAACTTAAAAGGCATGTCAATTCGATTGTGTTGGGCTTCGCCACCTTCAACAGCAACAAAATCAGCTTCTCTCTACCTCGCACTCCGGCAACCCTGGCGCACGAGAGCTATGCTTGCCTTTGCAAAAATGCCATGCATGGATAAAGTGATACCTTTGTGTGTATGCGCGTTTGTGTGTGTGTGCGCGTGTGTGTGGCCTGATTCTGATTTGTATACCATATACTCTGTTCATACAGTAAAAGAGGGCTTTTTAGTTTTGTGCAGTGTCCGACTTGTCCCTATAAATATATATTTGACTATTTTTCGCGACAAAATAATATAATATTGTGACCACGCCCACTAGAAGGCGGGTCAATTGACAAATATCGACATTTCTTGAAGTCGTTTTCGACCGTTTTAGGCTGTGAACAGAATATGGCACAGTCGGTAGCACCCGGTAGCAAAGTTCTCATTGAGCCCTGCACGCGTAAAATCGAATGGCTTGCCGTGAACCAATCCACCCCTCGAACTAGCACAGTTCCAACAGTTCATAGGTTTAATACGTGGAGGCAGTGGTGAGCTGAGCAAAAGTTCCAACAGTTGTCTTTTAGTCGGCATGTTTGCTACTTTTGCACGTACAGTGAAACTTTTCATAATTTGAATAAGTATATTTTCTTCCAAACAGTGACTAGGTAATATCGCCACATTATGTCCGATATATGTACATATATATATTTGTCTGCCGAGAATATAATCCAAGCTTCTTTATGAATGTGAGCATTCTTGTTCCTTAGCTGCAATTAATTAGCTCAAACTTGTGAATAATAATTTTGAAAAGGGTTAATTAAATCTACAAGGTCAACCTTTCCCACTGAGTAATTTAGCGGTCAGGCGAAAAGCACGCAGAAACAAACCCAACGAAAAAACAGTTCCAGTGAACCGTTCAAACTACTCAACCGTTGATCGTGTAAACTGCTGTGGTTCCAGTTCAACTTTAAAACTACCGAATAGTTCACGAGCTGAACCGAAATTTATTCAAATTAACAAACGTTCGGCTTGTTCTTTCCTTTTTTGAGATAACCCTAAAATCCTCTAGATATCTGCTAGTTAAAGTGACAAATAGAGTTGTTATCAATTAGTCTAAAGGTCAGCAGTCGCATTTTTGCCGCCCTCTGTTAACTCCGTTTCTCTCCCACTTCGGCGCAAATGACGCACGAGACCAATGAATGTGGGCACGTGTGTGTGTGTGTCTGTGTGTGTATGTGTGTGCAAAAGAAAAACGCGTTAATCAGTGTCCTAAATCGAACTCTTGATTGTAATGAGCTATAACACATTCTTTTTCCACGTGTCGCGAGCTTAAGGATAACATTAACAGAGCGTAAATTTTCTAATTGGTACAGAAAAGGCCAAACATAATTAGCCGCCAAGTCTGTAACACATGCATAGTTAATGTAATACTTATGTTTGTCTATATGGCTATACATATTTAGTTGAATACTTTTTTTTTTCATACAGTTTGGCAGCACAGCAACAGCCCAGCAGCCGCAGCAGCTTAGAAACTGGGTCATGCATACAAGCATACATGCACACATACATACATATTTGCGGTGTGCTCTCTTTGTAGTTGTAGTTGAAGCAAACGTATGCATGTGTTCGTGTGTGTGTGTGTGTGTGTCTGTGTGTCTGTGCTTGGCAACCTGTTGAGGTTTATTTTATCTTGCACTCACTCTCACATAAGCATTTTTACAACAATTTATCTCACCATTCTCTTTTCTCTCTCTCTCTCTCTCTTTTTGCCTGCCTGTAGGCGCAACAAACGCATGCGAATGCCAACCGCGGCACATACCGCGAACATCTAAACAACATGATGCTGGGTGGGAGCCGCCCGCAACCGTATTCCTATAACAATCCTGCGATTTCAATGTCCTCGGTGAACAGTCAGAGCGGCGGCGGCGGCGGTGGCGGCGGTAATGCGCCGCCGCCTCTGGTTCGTTCAGCGGCCGGACAGAATGCCAATCACATGTAAGTATTCACATATGCAATCGATGTATCGGTTGATATCATTTTTGTTGTTATCGATTTGTAACTGCGCCGTTTTTAAACTAAATGAAAGCAATTTGCAATTACAGTTACAATTACTTTTGCTACTTACTTTGATTTTGCTTTTCTTTATGCATACATATGTCTATATTTATATATATTTATATGTATATATATGTATGTGCCAATGACATACATATCAATCATATTTAATGATTATCAAAGGATAAAAACAAAACTTTTTTTTCTTTTTGTGCAGAAATTGTGTTTTTCAAATTTTGTTGTAATTCGTTTACTATGTGTACATGCATACATTACTTTTTCACTCTAAGTTGGATATTTTTCTGCCATTAGGGTGCCACGTGATACGAACTAAATTAAACATGTATAAAAGCAGCACCAAGTTGTTGTTATTTGCTTTATTTTTTTTTTTAAATATTTTTTTTTTGTTTTCTTCTACCATGCACCAATTGTTTTTTCATCTTAGTCGTAATGCAAAAAAAAAAAATAAAAAAAAAATGAAAGAGAAAACCGAAATCGGCGTTTGTGCACGCATTTTATTTAATTTTAATACAATTTTCGACTGTGTTTACCATTTTTGATAAATATATACGTTATGAAATTATGAAAAATAATCGTTACACACATAACTTATTTGCTACCATTCGTTTGCCCTCCCTACCTCCAAAAAAAAAAAAAAAAAAAAAAGAACGTCACGCCACATTATTTTTCGTAATTTATTTCCGACACGCCAAACAAAAAAAAATATCAAAAAATTAATTGTAATTATTGAATACAAACAAAAATCTTTCCATGTTTTTCTTATTGTTGTTGTAGTCAAAGAACAAAAAAAAAAAAAAAAAAACGGATCTTCTATCGCATTCGATATTTTGATATGTACAAATGAAAAGATCAACAAAAATCACTATCGAAGGACGTTGCTCGTTTAGGGCCTCACAACATATTATGTTTTTCAAAATATCGACACTGAATAAAATTTAAAACGAATTAAACAAACTATTTTCTACGTAACTAACAAATCTAATTTCGAAAATAACCCATTAATAAACACAAAAAACCCAATTTGCCACACAATTTCTTAAGTTTGGCATGCATTAGGGTGTTCTGTGTTACAAATCGATATAGAAAAAAAGGTTGTTTTTTTTTTTGTTTTCCCCTCACTTTTTTTTTGTTTGGGTTACAGTTGATAACTAACGATGAACGTAATAAGCCCAGGACTCGAAAAAAAACTCTCCATCTACACACACATTCCATTTCGTAGTTACATATATTTGTAATATATTTTGCTGTAGTTTGCATGCCCTGACATTTTTTAACGCTTTTTTAAAACAATTTCTATCTGTTATGCTTGGCTCAAAACAACTAATCGTTTCCTTTTAAGACTATTTTTGTCATTCCGATTATTTGTTTTTTTTTTTTTTTCGAATATACCTTAATTTCAATGAGATTTTTAGATAAAACGCTGATAGAAGAACTACAACATATTTTGAAAAACATGAATTCGCATTAAAAAAAAAAGAAAAAAGGCAATCAACAATTTTGAAAACAATATTGTTTATTTACTTTTGTTTTTTAAAAAAAATATTGTTATTGCTATTCTTATCAATTAAAAAAAAAAAATATATATATATAGATATATATATATATATGCATACATATATATTGAAATATATACAACCAAACATATATACATACATATAATTTATGGCTGTGTGTACTGACTACCCCTAACTAATTTTGTCGCACTTGAAATGATATCAAAATGAACAATCGTGACATCAGACTTAAACAAAAACGTCAACAATTTACAACAACAACAACAAAAACAAAATCACAATAAATAAAAAAATAAAAAAAAAATGGAATTTTAACAAGAAATTCTGGTGACAGGTATCCTCCCACCCCCTATGGCAGAGACACCAACAATCCACAAAGAACTCAACCTCAACCCCGGCCTCAAGATATGAATCGAATTAACAAGAGCCGCAATCAAAATCAACTGCACAGAATCAGATACCTAAACTATCCCCATACACAGTGAGAGAGAGAGAGAGAGAGAGAGAGTGTGAGAGATCAAGATAACATTATATATAATGCGTGTACAAGTTGATCAAATTTGGCAAACAAAATTCTCACAAGCAATAATGCAAAATGTATTTATACTTTTTTTTTTTTTTTTTTTTGATAATAAACAAATATACAGACT